GAGAAAGCTTCGAGGATAGGCAACACCAGGCAACTCTTTGGACTCATCAGGGAAACGGGTGGGAGAAGACAAATCATTAGTGAGACAATCTCGGAAAAAAATGGCACTATAATTAGCTCCCAGGATAGACGACTGGATCGTTGGAAAGAGCATTATGAGGAGCAGTTTAATTTGCCCACAGCCACGCTCAACCTTCCGAGCATCCAACACCTCCCTGAATGGGATATAGACACAGGTCCTCCGTCACTAACTGAGGTTACTAAAGCTGTCACCAATCTGAAACTAGGCAAAGCAGCGGGACCTGATGGAATGACTCCAGAGGTATTTAAGTACGGTGGAGACAGCTTACTGTCTGGATTAACTGAGGTACTAGGCAGCGTCTGGGAATCAGAAGAAGTCCCATCGGGTTGGTGTAAGTCACTGATTATCCCCATATACAAGAAGGGAGACAAGTCTTCCTGTGATAATCACAGAGGGATTAGCTTGACTAATATAGTATCTAAAGTCTTAGGCTCAATAATCATGCGTAGACTGAGTGGTGCTCGGGAAGCACAAACACGAGAGAGCCAGGCAGGCTTTAGACCAGGAAGAGGGTGTATTGATCATATCTTCACCCTCCGACAGATTCTAGAACATAGGCATTCCTACCGGCGTCCAACAGTCATTATATTTCTTGACCTAAAGGCAGCATTCGACTCTGTCGATCGGGAAGTTCTCTGGAGATGCTTGGCTGTAAAGGGAATTCCGAGAAAATATATTGCACTGATTAAGGCACTCTACTCGTACTCATACAGCCAGGTGAGGGCTTACGGCGAGCTGTCATCTGAACTGATGACGACCAGTGGTGTCCGTCAAGGATGCCCATTATCTCCTTTTCTATTCAACTTCATCATAGATGTGTTAATGGACTTAACCCTAGGTGACTTCAGCGACTCAGGGATTGACTTGCTACCAGGGAATAATCTCGTTGACTTGGAATATGCAGACGATATAGTCCTTCTAGGCGAAGACGCTGACGAAATGCAGAGTCTTCTAAACACCTTGAGCGGCAATCTACGAATGTTTGGCATGCGATTCGCTCCCGCCAAATGCAAGATGATGTTACAGGACTGGACTACATCGACGCCTAGTTTAAAAATAGGAAGTGAAGTGGTAGAGCACGTTGACCGCTTCACTTATTTGGGAAGTACCATCAGCCAACCCAACGGGTTGATCTCTGACGAAATCTCAGCACGAATACAGGGGGCTCGTTTCGCATTTGTTAGTTTACGCCGACTCTGGCGTAGACGAGATGTTCGACTATCGACCAAAGGGCGGGTGTACTGCTCATCAGTCCGCTCCGTCCTCCTTTATGGTTGTGAGACCTGGCCACTGAGAGTGGAAGACATGAAAAGACTAGCTGTCTTTGATCATAGGTGCCTGCGTTCTATCTCCCGTGTAAAGTGGCATAATAAGGTGAGCAATATTGAGGTTAGGCGTCGGGTTCTAGGTAAGGAGGGGAAATCAATCGACGAGGCTTTGAAATTACATCAGCCGAGATGGTTAGGACGTGTGTTACGCATTCCTAGTTATCGCCTTCCTCGACAAGCAATGTTAGCTGATACAGAGTCAGGCTGAAAAAGAGCTAGCTAGCGGCGGTCAAACCAAAACATGGCCTCACCAGTCAATGAAATCCACAACAGTTGGTCTAACCCATGTAGGAAGGTGTAGACTTCCAGGCTGGGGTCTTCGGGACGGTAAAAATCTATGGTTGGAAACAATTGGTGACATGGCTCAAAATCGTTCTCAATGGCTAATGCAGATTCATTCACTCCTTGTGACTTATGATTTCCAATGAAACAGTTTTGTTCTTCGTTATTACTCCTTTGTCTCACACCTCTGCTCACTGTCTCTATTATGCTTTTCTTGTACTTTCTTCTCTTGCTTCGCGTGCTACACGGTGTGGCGACTTGAACTGGTGCACATTTGTGCAAAGTTCTATGTCGAAAACAGACAGACACAGACAGACAGGCAGACAGGGCTTCAAGCTAGAGACTTGAGGTTTCGGTAGAAGTGTTGACCATTTTTACAGGATGGGATTGCTAGCCTCATGCTCAACCTTTCTTCTTTACCAGCATTATTTCTGGCTTAGAAAGATAAAGGAGTGGGTCGGCCGGAGGTCGAACCCCGACCATGTGCATGGTCGTCGAGCGTCTTAACCGCTATGCCACCGAAGCACAGGTATATTATGTAAGAACTAGTAATGCTAAATCAGATGTTTAAACCAAAAAAACTGAACCTGAGTTATGAGATGAGTGACTTGTGCTTGGTAGTCAACTGTCTAGAACTTTAATTTCTTACTGATGTAATAAGAAAAACCATGTCCTAGCTTGTAAACAAAGGTGTGAATTTTACAAAATCTACAAGAGCTAGAAATACTACAAAAGCTGTTAAATGAAGCTAGAAAAAGAGGTTTGAAATCGGTTACTCACTAAGTTAGCAAAATTAACAGTTTAATCGAATGAACTTCAGCTGCAAAATAAAGTACAACTACTTTGCATTTTAGTGAAGAAAATTGAGTAGGAAAAAACCAGAAAACTGTGTATTGTGATTTTCAGAGGAAGTACTAAGCAAAATTACTCCTTCAAAGTGGTTATATTCAACACTTTTCAAATGCATTGAATAAAAAAAAACATTCCAACGATGAAAGAAGTGGATGATAAGTGACACTATGTGAAACAAAAGATAATCACTGTTGGTTGCATCAAGATTTTTTGAGTGAGGTGTCCGAATACATAGTGCTTTTTTGAATAAATGGACCCTAATGCATGAGAATGTTCACCGACCCTGCAGATCATTAAGATTCCATTCCCAGCCGACACACTTCTAAACCTGACTTAGCTTCGGGTAGTAAGCCCCATAAAAAGGGGAGGTGAGATGTCAGACTAGCGACCGCACTCCGTATAAAAAAAACACCACTGTTACTGAGACTTCAAAACATGCATGAAGCCTTATGTTCCACCCCGAAAGCAATGAATGAAGAAAAAGACGACAAAGATCCACCACAGTGACTTCCTAAGGTTGTACAAATACAACAAACTCTAGAAAATGACACGAACTTTTACTAATTGGAAACAAACAATGAATGCATAGAAAAAACATTACGCAGTGAGGACAAATACTCGCCGAAGACATTGGCTAGTCGTCGCGCTTAGTTGTGAAATGGTAGAAGTTAGAACCAATGGGCCTTGGATCGGGTCCCAGTGGCTTAATAGTCTACGAGCTCGCTAGCCTTGTAACCAGAAGGTCCTGGGTTCGAACCCAGTGGGTGCGTACTGATGAAGAGCCCCGAACTAGGACGAAACAGCCACCCATTGCTCCCAGGCTTTCCAATGATTCTCTAACCAATATCAGCTCATGATGAAATCTTATAACCGATTACGCTAATTATTTCATGTAAGCGAAAAAATGGAACAAAAATATTAATTTATACAAACCAAAGAGTCAGTGAATAAGCTTAAGTTTTCAAGGTTGAAGTTAATGTGATTTCGCTGAAACAAACCGATGCACATTATACTTCATAAGTTGAAAATAGTATGAATAGAAAAAATTCGGGGGAAAATGCTTCCAGTTTTAAAAATCTTTGTAAAGATAAGATATAATATTAAACATTTGAGGATCGTTACGGAAATCAAAGACGACGCACAAGTTACTTATGAACCTTAAAAGTTAATCCTACACACTGAGTACTAATTACAGATATCATTAAAAATCATATGGTGTGAATATTGACGTAAATCATCGGTAGAAGACGTCAGCAAAAATTCCCTTTCAGAACATAGAAGGCTTACTCACATCATGTGTTTGAAAATAACAAAAGTATGTGATGAATTATACTAAGAATAGGCGTTTCTGATCAGATGGTTGCATCAACAGACGTTTCAACATCAAAACATACGTCAATGTTTTAGTGTACAATAATGTGAAAAACGTTATAGGTCAGTTCACATTCAAAGCACAAGCTAAAATTTGTAGCAACAGTCACTGAAACTTGTAACCTAAATCCATCTTAAATTTAATTGACTATTCAATATTCACGACTTTAAATAGAGCCATTGATGACATGAAGTGAGACAAGAAATGTAAGCTAATTGCATCTTTATCCAGCATTATGTAACCAAATAGTTAGATGAGAATCTACATTTTCAGTCGTTAGTCAATTAGGCTTGAATTTTTGGGCCTTAAACGTGATTGTTTATGTTGCTTCGACGGAATAAACCTATCAGATGGTTTTTCGAATTTTATAAGCTCAATCAAGCTGTGAGTCACCTATTCTTGATGAAGTTGAACTATAATAGACAAAGTCAAGCTTTGTCAAAAGTTGACTTTCACGAACCAGTAAGATTTAAGAAAGGTCATTCGAAATTAAATAATATTTGCTTTTATGCATTTGATGAGGGTAGGTAGGGTAGAGTATTCTACCTTTTCCCTGCGCATTTTTTTTCTGTAAACCTATACTGTTACTACTTAGGGTTACTGTTGTTACGATTAAAGTTAGGGTTAGAGGTAGGTTAAAGAACCAACCATGTTAGGAATGTCAATGGATCTCTAAGTACCGAGAACTACAGTCACCTTGGTGAGTACATCTGTCGCATATGGTCTGATTCCTCCATGGATTACGCTAGAAGTAACTAAAACACATTCTCATAACGCATATGAGACAATTATCTAGTGTTATATCATGTTTGCAATATGCATATATATATATATATATATATATATATATATCTTAATGATTATGCTACTTCTCCGCATCTGAATTGTGACTGGTTGCTGTTCTAGGTCATTGGTAATTTTGGCTATGGTAGTTTAACTTCGCCTTGTCCTAGCTCACTTTGTATATGGAAAAGGTAAATATAAGATGATAAATCCGTAACTAATATGAACTAGTTAGCATTCACATACACACAATAATGAAATTTGAAATAATTCACGCTATTTCAAAATAGCAATAAACTTACAGCTTCTGCTAACTCTTGTTCAAGTTCTCGGGCATAACTTTTTGAATCGGCTATTTCCTCGTGCAAGCGAACTAGTTCATCTGAAAGACCTCGTCTATCTGCAGCTGATGCACTACACGCATCAACTGTTAAAGTTTGCAGTAAATCTGGAGACAATAATTCATCAGAATTGGTTGATGCATGGAAAACTTCAGTTTGTGTGGCGACATCCATCTATAAGATTGAATCATATACAGATAGATAAGTAAAAGATCTATTCTGTCGGTAATATAAATATCAGAGAATATTTTTCTCCAACTGGTATCGACTACAGAACTAAACAAAAAAACAAGGGGCTCTTCTATACTAGTTTTAAATGAAGATAAAATCTTTTTGAGTCATGGAGAACATGTCACATGTAGCCACAGTGTCAGCTGGAATTCATTGATTTACAGTTCTGGAATAAAGCCACAACAACACAGTCACTATTCAATGTCATCGACGATTTAACTTCCTTTTAGCACTCCATCTGTAACTTGGGCAAAGGCTTTAGAGTCGTATGTTCCATTCAGAAACCAAGGGAATAATCAATAACCGATAACTTCTCATAATACCACACGATGATTTGATAGTGAATTAGGTTTGTGGGTACCTGATAAATTTTCCAACAGTCTGTCTTCGCTTCCTGACTAGGATAACAACACAGTTATCAAGTACTTCTTGACTTCGAATATCTCCTTGTTGATGTTCCTTTAATAATAAAACTACTTTGAGACTACTCAAATGTCCATAAAACACCCTAAAAACTGAATACATTTCAAAAATTAATATCAATAAAATGTTTGAGCATTGTGGACTAGATCAAATAAAGTATAATTATATTTCAATAGTTTACAGACAATGATAAGTTTTGTTATTGGTAATATTTCGAGCAAAATTACTGCCCGTGTTCACACCACTGTTGGAATTGTTTTGTTCACACATTTATGATTTGTACTCATATATACAGTGCATTATTATTATTTTTTGCTCATTCATGTTTTTGTATTCAGAATTATATTCCACGTTCATTCATGTTTTTGTATTCAGAATTATATTCCAAGTTGTTGATAGTTGTACTGAGTCACCATTGTTACATGTATCCGGTGTGACTTTAATGAATATCAATTCTGTTATAAGTCTTTCTTTCCGAATAAATCTGCTGAAGAAGCTGTGGCTTACACAGCGAAACGTTCAGAAAAATCTTGTTCTGATTTTCTTAACACGCTGGGATTAATTTAAATAATTTATAATGTTTCTTACCATTTGTTCATGTTGGTTTTTAGAATGCGCACATTGTTCCAATCGATATTGTGGCTTTTGTCCCATGCATGTGCAGCTATCGATGAATTTTTCTCAAGATTCTTGTAGACTTATGTTCCTGTTGGTTGACCTTCGGTTAGGCGTTTATGTACATTCACTACTATTTTGAGTGATCTGGACGTTTGCCCCACATATTTAGTCGGACAGTCAGCACAAGATATTTTGTAAATCAAATTGTTTTGATATATCATTTTTATGGGATCTTTCAGTGGATTTATTTTATTTTTGATTAGATTCGTCGGTTTAAACGTTGTTCGAATGCCGATATTCTTGAGGTTTCTTTGAATTGCCTCTGATGTACAATTTTTATGTGGCATTGTGACTGTTTTTTCCATTCTTCCATTTTGCTATTCTCCGGTTTTACCCTCTTTTTCCTCTTTTTTATATTATCTTTTATAAATTCTTTTGGGTAGTTGTTTTCGAGTAGCATTTTGAATAGGACGTTTATTTCTTTACACTGGACCTCTGGTGTTGTTGTAAGCCTACGTATTCTGTCTGCAAGACATTGCGTTAATCCTCATTATACGGTGAGTGGATGAGCTGAGTGATAATCAAGGAATTTTCCAGAGTGTGTGGTTTTTCTACAGATCGTCGTTTTTATGCTACCATCTATTATTCTTTGTATTTCGCAGTCTAACATAGGCAGTTCCCCGATTTCATTCTCTATTTCCATAGTAAATTTTATTGAGTCGACATGGCCGTTTATGTGTGAGAAAAGTTTCTCAGTATCGTTTTTTTTCACTATTACTAGTGTGTCGTCTACATATCCCCTTTCAAAAATACTAATACTCACCGTGATTAATGCCATCCGTGTACTTATAATATGTTCAAGTTCGCATAAACGTTTCGTTTTTTCTTCCAGTAATTGTTTAGCTGATCCTAATTCTTCATCAAACTGCAGCTGAAAAGTACCACCACACCAGATATAATATAAATATAAAGTATAATAAATAAACGTGATTTTAGATTAACTACTATTATAATTAATTATTTGGTTACATACCTTCTTAGAGAAGTGAGAAACCGATTGGAAACATGCACGCATTCAATATATGATAAGTGGATTCGAAGTCCATTCAACACTAATTCTTTTAGTCATACTGGATTGGAATCAGTGGGACAGAACAGATGTTTCATGTGTTTCAAACTAAGCACCACCACACTTACTGTCTGAGGACAGATGAAAAATACTACTCAGTCAGTTATCTAAGCTGAGATACAGGTGGAGCATGATTCAAAGCCAAAAGACTCACTGGCTGAAAGTCAAATGATTAAGCCAGTGAGAGCTCTACATTGCCTATCTTCATACTAGAGATTTTGAATACAGTAAAAACAATGGTTTGTGTAGAATTTTGCCAATATAAAATAGGGATAATTTAAGAATGTTGACAGATCATATATCGGGATCCTTATGAACAAGTAGTAGGTTACGTCAAATGATATCATGAACTTTATTGGACACTTACACATGATTCAGGCTTTTAATGAAATGAAATGAATCTTTCAAGGTACACACACATCTAGTCGTTGATGAATAGATTTCAACTTTGGTGAACGCCAACGCACAACACTGTGCTGCAGAGAGTTAATCATAGGACGACAAATAGGCTTGTATGTTTTCGGCAAGCCAGCCATGTGACGCTAAGGAGACTCTCTCTAGGTTTTTTGAATCATCTTAAGGAGTGTTGTAAATCAGTTGTTTTTTTTTCTTTAGCAGCTCTCTCAACATATTTCTGATGCGTTTACTCAACTGAATCAGTTTAATCTTCTTTGAGATTTTCCACTTTAAACGTCAACAGTTCACTTAAAATAGATTTCATCTTTGTAATATATAGCACCCTCTTTGCCCATCAACAACCCGGCCCTGAGCTTTTATCACGTCGCAATATCAGGATTTTGTTACAGGATTTCATCATGACCTGGCATTGGTTAAGCCACTTAATGGTATACGAGCCCGCCTTGTAACCAGAAGGTCATGGGTTCAAACCCCGGTGGCGTGTACTGCTGAAGAGCCCAGTTGTCCAGTACTCCCAGTTGGTTTTCCAATGGTTCTCTAACCAATGTCAGCTCATGATGAAATCCTGTAACCAATCAAATCCCTACAAACCAATACTTAAATATCAGGATTTTGTTGTTTTGTGAGAAACACCATACATTGCTAAATTACTTGCTGATGACGTTTCAAGTACAGTTTATCGCGACAGTATACTGATACGGTTAAAAGCAACAAAATATTGTCAGAAAACTATCAATAATACTTAGATATACGACTATACATTAACTCAATCTATGCAATTATATATTATAGCCCGTAAGACATATTATACAAATATTTCGCCTACATATTTAGTGCACAGATCTGAACGGGACCACCACTGGTCAGGTGATTAAGAAAGGCATTATTTTCAAAAACAGATAAAAAAAACAAATTATTATTATTATTAGTAGTACAATTTTTCAACATACTTGTAATTTTGATATGAATAAACGTGCAGATTTTAAGTCATCTTCTAAAACGCTGCCCAAATTTTCACCGGGTTTAAAGAACGACAAGTCTTGGCATGAATTATTCAACACTTTAGAATCAATAGTGCGTAGTGGGAAAAAAATACAGGGGAAAAAAACAACTGTCTGTTAAACAATTTTTTTAAAGGAAATTCAATAAATACTTCATCTTAACACTGAAACAGCAAGGAAATAAGTAAAAAAAAAACATCCGGTTAATTGAACTAGTACGCACTGCTGTATCTCTGCTTTATGACACAGATAAATTGCAGGTGAAAGGAATATGTGATATTTTCCGTGAGGTTTCTTGCATTATCTAGTTTGGTATTATTATATGATTATTTCCTTGGGTTCCAAACAGAACATAAGCCATCAACGTCACATCTCGATTTCATCCAGTTCTCTTTCATCCTTTTTAGCTGGTTCCATAATTGCTCGCCATTGTTTACCTCCTCCACACGGTCTCCACCATTTTATTCGCGAACTGACGCGCAACTCTTTATTTTCTATTTTTGGCTCTAATTTAGGACCTGGCACGTGATATCACTCAACGGCCCTATCCAGCAAATTTTTACCTTATCAATGTATAAATCCTCACTAAAAGTACACTTACAATGATTATGAACATTCATTAGTTGGAACATGAGACAAACATGCCAGAATAAATGAATAAATGAGGCTAGAAAAGCTCCATGACAGTCACAGTATTATAATTTATGATGTTGGCGATTGATGGTCTGAAGTGTTTGGAAGGCGTTTCTTCGAAAATGCACGTAGGATAAGGTAGATGAAACGTTGGAAAATTAAGACGGTGTGATACCCTAAGTTAAATCTCATCAACTATTCTTTAATTTTATTTAAACGCAGAAAAAACTAGGTACAATATGGCACCAACAAAGATGCGCCACACAATAATAATAAAACAACATAGATCAAAAGTAAAAATATATGTAGAGAACGGATTAAGAACTTCATATGGAAAGAAAACAGTCATGCTTAACAAGTTCAAACAGTATTCGTTAACTATCGTCACGAAGGGAAGAAAGAAGTAAATTGCAACACGTTCACAAGTGATTACGATTCTTGCTCATATCCAACAACGTTTTAAGCCATCGATTCGAGCTATCTCGCGGACCCAAACCAGGGAGTCGTGAGGCACCAACCGATGCTAATCTAGCATAAAAATTCTTCACCCCACAATGCCACGTCATGCACTGACCACCTCTCCACCTTTCCACCCCGTCCCAGGGCCGGCTGAAGAACAGAGACCTGTACGGAAGCCTCTGGAATGACATTCACAGCACGTGTCCAAGCCACCGGAGCCGATGTTTCCAGATGACGACACTCCATAAACGGTGATCTCCACTGTGTTCAAACACACACCGCCGAACCTCAGAATTACTCACGCGATGATGCCATCCATCGAACGAAAGCAATCCTGCGGAGACAGAGATGATCGAACACGCAGAGTCGCCCCACATCCTCGGCCCACTCAGAGATGCCAGGTTTCGCAGACGTAGAGAGACACACCCCACACTAAAGCATTGTATACCCGACCTTCGACAACCAGGCTAACGTCGCGACGGCTCCAGAGGTGGCTCAAGTTGATGTATGACAACCTAGCCTTCATTATACGGTTGGAAATCTCATCCGTCACCCCTCCCTTCACCAGCACTCACACAACTACCCACATACACAAACTTATCAACAACTTCAAGCGGTTCAGCCTCAAGAGTGAATGCAGGTACACACTCCTGCCAATCTTGTAACATTACTTTGCACTTACACGGCGCAAACCACATACCATACTTATAGACACTGATCGCCAACTGATTAAGTGCAATTTGGGCAGCCTGCATGCTATCGCACAGTAAAACGACATCGTCTGCATACTCGAGGTCGAAAAGTCTATCTCCAGGTAGCAGATTTACACCACCTTCACGCACATCCTTCAGACCTGACTCCAGAATGTCATCGATGGCAAAGTTAAAGAGAAATGGAGAGATTGGGCAACCATGTCTAACCTAGGATATGATGATGATGATGATGTAACAGATATCTAGTTGCAAAAAGTTTGAATAATACTGATATGAAGTATGCACATTTCGCAAAAGAATGGAAAAATAATCAAGATGAATGCACCTGTTGGATAATATTTAATCATGATAATTTGTCACAAATTACATTCCATAGCCTATTGCATAAGGCATCACTAAAAGCATTCTGATCGATAGCACAAGCTCACATACGCGCACACAAGCACGCACGCGCTCATTTAAAATGCTGATTACACACACAGACATACACACGACAAATTGATGTCCGGAAAAATACACCATATGCACGAACATCAATATATGCAGGCAGGCAATCATAAAAATATTGTAACAATTACACAGAGAGAGAAGCAAAAAACACTACCAAAATTTAGACAGAATAAATTATGATGCTTTTACATAACACTGGTGTGATCTTCGAGTAATAATAATAATATTAAAAACAATCATAACAAGTATAAAAAAGAAATCAAATACTTATCAATGTTTACGAAGAAAGTATTTGATGTGGTTATATATTCACAAATCTCTGCGCCTAGAAATGATGACTAGCTTCCCTTGAGTGTGCATGTGTGTGTGTGTGTGTGTGTGTGTGCGTAAGCCTCTATGCACTAATAAACAGACATGAAGTAATACTTAAATGTAAATACAATATGAAAAGTATACCATGCGCAACACATCAGATTGAAACGAAACAAAGTTCAAGCAAACTCTTAACAATGAGAATAATACGAAAGACTAGAATAATGACGTGCAAAATTGTGCACGAAAAAAATGAGTCATATATTCGATTGCCTACGTCCCGGTAGACGGATATAAAGTGCAGTTCAAAAAAGTGTACTGTCTAGACCAATTAATCACAGCTCAAGTTTCGTCCTACTGATATTGCCAGCCAAAATCGAAATGATGTAAAAACACATTGGACAACTTTCTCTTTGATTCATTCATAATAAATGTCATTATTAATTAAATCAAGTTAATAATTTGTAAACTAATTCACGATTTGGAATTTACATAGTTCGAGGTGAAATTTCACCACACTTCCCTTTCGATCAGATCACAATAAATGATCTACTTGATATACCACTCGACATCAACCAGTCTCATTACTTGTTGGTATTAAACTTCCCGTTGAGTATCAATAAGCTCTCGTAAACGACCATCTACGGTCGACGGTGGGTAGACTTCAGTCTTCCCACCAGAAATCCTTTCATGTAGCCACGCGTCTATAGCCTCCACCAGGTAAGTCCTTTTCACAGATTTCATGCGGTGGGAGTGTTCCTCACAAAAAGGAATTGGTGAATCCGAACACCTGGCGCTTAAAACCTGACTGGGAGCTAGGAAACCCTGATTCCAACCCAATGTACACATAGGGTCAGGAATTCAAACGGATCGAATAAAGTATAAACGTGTTTTGGTTACCGATAACCACGGGGACGCGGCTCCACTGCCTTGTGAACTAGGCTTTAAGTTAAAAGCTAGTGGAATGATCCCTTAAAACAACCACCTACTTCGGTCTGGGTGTCCGGGTAGTATCTTATTCCTCACACAAACTATGTGTGGTACATCTATTGGTGCGCATAACAGTAATAATGAATGTCAATAAAAGAAACTAATATTGCGGCTAATAATTCGTGTTGAGCGACATACCAGATTCTTTATTTTGTAATCCATTTCCATTCAATAATGGACTTGCAGGTATTTGTACATCACATTCTACTTCGTCAACGTTACAAACAGACTGATTGATAACATTTGACGTGTCACAAGGATGAGGTTTTTTCATTGAATACTGTAGTTTCAGTTGTGATAACATTTCACTTTGTTGTCTTGTATCCTTTTCAATCATTTCACGTTCACGTAATTGTTGAGCTAACTAAATAAAGGAAAAGAAGACAAGAGAAATGCATTAATTGAATGGATAAAATATAATGCGTGAATAATTAGCCAAATGAATATACGTATATCCAGTCTGTCTCCATTACCTCCTAAATATTTGTTATGTTACTTCCAACTACGTTTACAAATTCATATGTTCGCGCCGGAGCAAGTATACTGGAAGGACAAAGGGGCTGAGCATCCATTCGCTTTGCCTAACACATTTCAAAAAGCCCGCGACTTAAAGATCCTTAATTGGCACTTCTTGGTCGTCTACATAACACACTGTATTTACACGATAACATCAATGGCTTTTAATTTTATTCCTATTCCGTATACTTTATAGACCGGATAAGATAGCATAACAATACAAGTATCTTACCCCACAATACTCAATCAAATCATTGAGAGATATACACAATCAACTTTCGCATCAAAATAAACAATATTTATTAGCCTGGGCAAATATAAGACATTATGCACTCAGTGTTTCAAGAATTCAAGCGGACACTCAACATCTGTATTATCATGAAAGCTTCATGGTGTATTAATGCTAAATAAATTGAGGTAATTCCTGTTACATATCCGCCATAAACATAATTTAGTCACAGTCTATATGCGAAAATTCAAAAATTTAATATATATATATATATATATCGTTACATAGGCAACAACATATTTATCAAATTATGTTGAATGGAATTCAACGCATGACTCAGTAGCCAACATGTCAGGTACTATGACCTTTGATTTTAAAGTTGATATCTTTTGTTTAACTGGTTACTTATTTGATTACAATTTTTGCAGTAATTCACATGATCACCAGACTAATTGATAAATGGATCAATTTCAACTATTTCGGTAGTGATTCTGTCTCTACACAACATATAAGGATTTCAATTCACAACCTTCACACCAATGATCAACTACTGCTCATTGAAAACTGTAAACCCCAAAAATGCATTTTATTATCAGTTGTACCCCCTTTGTTATTCTTACAGTGTATGGATTGCCTCGATGTATTATCTGATATTACATTCATTTTTATCTTTTGTTCTACATAGTTGCTCTCCGCGATTTAGAGTTCTAGTATATCCATGCTTGTGCGTGCCCCTTCCACACAACTGTACTCCACTATGATATCTAACACTGGAATTCTGACAATACATATTCCGCTTAAGCCTGTTATCCTAAAACCTGGAAAGTGTAGCTATTTACGTGTGCTGAGTTTTTAAAGATGTGTTTGTGTCATAAACAGTTCCAGAGATGACTTAGTACTTCTTGAATGAATTCTCGCTAACTGTCACGTGTGTTTTTAAGGTAGAAGGTTAAGTTAAAAGGTGGAAAAGAAGACAATAGAAGTGTTGCTTTTTCATCACCTCTGCTTAAACCAAACATGAATTCCGCCGCCTAATGGGTGGCCTCATCAACCACACGGTATGGATATGTATATTGTAGGGATAGCTGAGGACATGTATACGCAGGTTGAGTTTCTAGGTTCAGAGAATTATAGTTTAATTGATTAGTGAGAACTAATTTGTTGGTAGACTGATAATACGGATCGTTTACTGTGTAAGCCACGAGCTATTTCTTACGCCACATTGCTTACGAAAAGATCACATGGTCAAGTGACCACAACGTATACATGAAATGGTAATGGTAGTTTCACCTGGTAAGAATGGTAAGCTGCTCCGGTTGATCCTAATTACAGATGCTAAGATGCCACATGTCAGCGAGATAGATGATACGCCGACAAAAAAACCTTGACAGACACCAGGAAAATTGGGTGGGACACTTTTGTAAAGCAACTTTGCTTTGCAACTTCGCAGTACTAGATGTTATCTGTCCTGTAGGATACCGTGTCATTGTCAGTTAACATAGGTCCACCTAACGAAAATTTGATTCAATAGGAACTGTAATGCACTGAGACTACTCCAGTTCTTTTGAAAATCAAGAAGAATCTCTAGTAAGGAAACAGACTGGTTTATGTAAAAAGCTATGGAGCATTGAAAGCATTCCATCATTGAAGAATAAGGTCACCATTGTCTGTCTTCTTAAGAGACCTACACAATGTATGTGACAACCATCAAAGTATCAATCTGTTACCACTTGCATCAAAATAATAAAAGGTTGAAGCCCATCTTGATGTGATAAAAAAGTGCACTGGGGTAGATATACATTCAGATTCATGGACTGCTATTACGGTAGGCGAAGAACACTCTCAACCTTTTTGAAAATTTAATACCAACACAACCAAAATCTTACATTAGCATAATAAGCAAGATGACTAAATTTCGCAATTCTACTGACTGATTTATTTCCCTTGAAGTTAATCGTGCTTTGCAACATTACTGCCTATTCAATAGTCCCCTAAGAAAAAACTGTATGTTGCTTCATGTCATTTGACATTAAAACAGATATAACGTTAACATCAGGTGATAATATTCGTAAATACACAACTGGAAGACTGTATAAAATGTGTTAATTGCATTCATTAGCTTACCTGAGCTTCAACTTCACGTAATTTTGACTTAAGCTCTTCAATTTCACTACATTTAATACGTCGCTCTTTGAATTCTCTTATTTGACACAACTGTTGATCTACCTAAAATTAATAAATTGATAAATACAACAGTTTTAACCAAAAAATATACTTAGTACTCATAAGCAGTAAAGCAGACTCTCCCTAAGTAGTCTTTGACCTTCGACAAAATTTCCCATAAGTAATTTTCAGATATTAAGAATGAGAGAAATAAGCATGAGTGATCATTTAACCGGTATCTATTTGGGGTGTAAAAATTGCCTTTAGATCTATGGGACACTGCTACTTAACCAGTTAGAAGAAGCAGTAACTAGCCCAGAAATAATAGTTCCGAGGTCTATAACCTTCGAATTCTCAACACATATACAAGGCAGAGACATAAATAACACCACAGAATCAATATGGCTTAAAACCATTCACAATGACACGGATACATCCTCCCCTTCTTATTATCAAGATTATGAACACCTTAGTTACCCTTTATTCAATTATCAAATCTCAAGCATACAACTACTACCACCTCATGCAGAATCCTATATTAACCCGTGAGATATGAGTTTGGACGTAGCATTGTATATGCAACTATTTAATGTCGATTCTAATGGGGGAAAAAGAAATTCAAAGGGACTATAATGAGACGAAATGTGGGGAGAATAGTAAATGGAAGGATTTAATGGATCTGGTAGATTACAAAGAATGAATACATCAGCCCCACTGAGAACGGTTTGGAGTCCTATGACCAACAGTATCAAAGCCAGTGGTTCTTAGAATCCCGATGACCCCAACCAGGCAATCCCAATTGTCTTCAAAAAGAATGGATATTCTGACAATTTCATCAATTAGTGTTTAAACTCAAATCACAACACCAACAAGAAACCATCATCAAAGACTACAAGAAAATTCATCCCACCATATATAAGAAATATCTCTGAAATAACAGCTAGAATACTGAAACCGTTTGAAATAGATATAAAACACAAGCCAGTCAAATCACTTAATTCGATATTAAGCAAACCGAAAGATCCAACAGAAAAAGGAGATAAAATTAATACCATTCACAAAATAAATTGTATGAACTGTAACAGACATCACATCGGCCGAAGTGGGTATCTCTTTCGAATCAGAATCCAGGAACACAAACTAGCTGTGAGAAGACATGATACATATTCTTTCATATCAATGCATGTAGATAATTATGGACGTTAATTTGATTTGGATAATGTCGAAATCTTAGATAGATGAAACACCAAAAGTGCCAGAGAATTCCTTGAGCGAATATACGATTAACAAACATGTTAATATGGATGAAATCTACCAACTAATTAAAAGTAAATTATGTGACGAGAAAGTTCAAAATCTAAGTCAATCAAAAGTGATCAATACAGATGTAAATCGACTACCAGTCACGAAGATAGTTGCCAGGAGACACAATTCTATCATTCATGGAGCATTTAAATCAGTTGATTTTATGCTAAAACTTGCGCTGAAGATATTGTCCAGAAGGACGACGAAAGCTCCACAATTAAACCAAGCAGCTCAGAGAACACAACTAATCGCAAGTCTACACCTCCCTTTACACGAATGAAAACAACTGTCAGAGACTTTATGGATTGATGCTAAGTTCAAATCTGACCACCCCAAATGTTTTTTCAAACCTAATCTTATATCAGTTAACCTTGCTCTTCGAGGAAGGCGGCGAATCGATATGTAACACACGTCCTAGCCATATTTACATGTTGCACAGCTGTATTTATATTCACTAAAACAGTGCCTCGGTGGTATAGCGGTTAGGACGCTCGCTGACCATGCACATTGTCCGGGGTTCGGTCCCCAGCCACCGACGCACTCCTTTACCTCGCTGAGCCAGAAATAATGCTGGTAAAGAGGAAAGGTTGGGCATGAGACCAGCAACCCCATCCTGTGAAAATAAACAGTTACAGAAACTTCAAGCCACTAGCTTGAAGCCCTATGTTCCACTGGGGAACGTGAAGAAAAAAAACACAACAGTTTACTGTTGAACAATGGGAGTTAATTCACTGACACTATGACTCGTAAGTGGTTTCCAGAGGTAGTAAAACAAAACCATTGGATCGAGTCCCAGTGACTCAATGGTCTACGAGCTCGCCTTGTAACCAGAAGGTCCTGGGTTCGAACCCCATAGTGTGGGTGCGTACTGATGAAGAGCCCCAAACCAGGACGAAACAGCTGTCCAGTACTCCCAGGTTTTCTAGTGGTTCTCTAACTGATGTCAGCTTAAGACGAAATCCTTCGTCCAATCAAACAAAATCCCTACGAAACCAATACTTGAAAAACTACGTATGAAATAGTTGACAGGACAATGAAAGTAAGTGCACAAAGTTCCACAAAATGAAATTTGTCACTAGATGTGAAGCAAATTGACTGAGTATTCACTTAACAAGTTGTAAATAAGGAACATGTTAATACTGATAAGAGTGAATTAATCACTAACAGCAGAATGCAACGAGGCGTTAAGGCCTGTGATTAAATTTTTTTCTGCATACGAAGTTCTAGATAAAACGGACTAGCTGCTAGCGCCTACAGCATGCACCGGACATCTATGAAAATAACTTCTTCGATTGAGGAAATTTCTTTCCGTTAAGTTTTCATTTCTTGTTCTGACTCAATGGATATTTTTGGCCGCTAAAGTGAGGCAAGAATCCTGTGAGCGAAAGAACATGATGTGCTTCATTACTAATAGTAGTATTAAGTGCTATTGAAGTGCCTAGGTAAATCTATGTGATTTCACCACCCTGTTTAAACAAAGAAACAAACAGAAAAATGCAGTATATAGTAGTAGTCTCTGGGCCAGAAAATAGAGCCAGTTTATAAAGTGACTCACTGTTGGTTAGCATTACTTTCCACTTTGCCTTTATCTAATTTTTTAAGATTATCGATGCTTTTACTTCTACCTCCTTGCCTTTCCCCTTATTATCATCCCTACAGATATGACGTATAGACACTTATACGGTGATACAACAACGCTATGTTAACAATGTGCCTGATAAACAAGCACTCAGAGTTAGTGAATATTCACTGGCCGCCTCAATCATCACGTCAACAGAGAGAAAATACAGCAGGACATGGAATTCTCGAAACCTGAAAAATACACGCATATACGATAACATTTCGGTTAAACAGATGTTAGTAATTGAAAGCAGTAAACCTACCTTTAGACGAAGATCTTCACATTCTTGCTGTAAGTCTATTTTTTCCAACTCTAATTTTCGGGAATGTGCCATAAGGTCTTGAAAACCATTGACACGCTGTTTTAGACTAACAAAGTTGAAAACAAAAAAAATTAGTTTGTATGTTACAATATACATAAAACTTAGACACATTACGAACAAAAACTCCCACTGATATATAAAAAACCGACAAAAATGAATAGCTACCGACGACTTACCTTGTAATTTCTTTTTCTTTCAGCGCCAATTCATTTCGACAATGAGCCAACTCATCGCCCTGATCATGAAGCGCCTTTAATTCACGGGAGAGGCGCAAGGCACGTGATTCTGACTCAGTTGCTCGTAGCGTAGCTTTTTCAACTTGACTTCGAAGTCCAGCAACTAAACTTTCAGCTTCATCTCTGCAAGTCCGTTCCTTTTCAAGTTCTGCTAGCAAACGTCGTTTTTCACGCTCTGATTCTCGTAGCTGTGTCTGTAAAATAAAAAAAACAGTTTATACCGACCTGAACGTTTAAAACTGCCTACTTAAAACTAATAAATTACTTGAACAAACTTGCTGAAGGCAACCAAACAAGGGTGGAAAATGAAATCATTTATATTTCTAAATACAGATAAGTGGTCTGTTAATATACAAGAATAGAACCTGCCATCCTACTATTCCATAATCAAATTATTTAATTGAAAAACCTGACTCACACAGCCTGGTCAACACAGAATCGTGTATGAGAGTGAATTCGTTTATGTTAGTATAATCATTTTATTTATTATTATTAAGAGATGCCCCGCACTCTCATAGTTTGTGCGAAGTAGGTAATAGTCTTACGGGACCACACTACTGGCCTTTAACCTGAAGTCTGGTCCCCAAGGCAGAGTAGCCGCGTCCCCATGGTTACCGGTGATCAAAACACGTTCATACGTCATTCGATCCGTTTGAATCCTGGAGCCCATGTGTAGCAAAGGTTTGGAATCAGGGCTTCCTAGCTCTCCTAGGTAGAGCTATATGTCCACCAGTCCGGTTGTAAGAGCAAGACGTTCGTACTCACCTTTTCACTTTTGAGAGAGATAACCCCGCACAAACAATATAGCAGGACAATACGAAAAGCAATACAGAGATAAAAGAAAAAATTTAGAAAAGTGTTTTCGGAAATATTGGTGACATCACACGCTAACATATAGTCACTAGAACATTACTGCGTGGAAATTGCAACTCATTCTCCTCTGATAAAACTGGAGAATATGACTTTGATTGCCAAGTCAGCTGATCTAAGCAGTTTGATGCTCCAATAGCGCCTAAATCTAACAAAGCATAGTCTAAATGGGACAAATGAGGCTGTTTCATTTCAATTCAAAATGAAAGGGAAATTAATTAACAAATAATTGGGATTTAGATGATGACTTCGGTAAGATTCGACTGAACTGAAGATAAATTCCTTCACAAATTGACAACAAAAGCTGAAAAACAAGGGATATCTGATTCTGATGGAGCAGCTGAATGTCCACAGCAACCCGACACTTTCAAGCTGGTTTGCTTGAGGTCGTGAGTAAGTGTGTTTAGAGTCCGTAGCAGGAATGTATTTCTGAAAGTAGTACGTAACGACAAATTATTTCACCATATTCCACATTACAGTAACTAAAAACAAAGCTAAGCACTGATCTGTTTGAGAAAACCAATTTCCTACCGATTTTAGGCGCATTTCGCGCCTGCAAAATAACAATATAGTTCTATATTAACTATGATAACCTGCATATTTACTCTTTCATGACTGTAACATGAAACTAGAAGCATGTCCAGGTACGTTGAACTGGATATTTTAGTGATACCATTGATTTCTACATAATATAAGCAATTCACAACTCACACAAATCGAGTTTGAACGAATATTACATTTTCTATAAACAACGCTAGTGCTCAATACAGATTATAACTTCTATGTTGGGTATAGTAAAATACATATCATGAACCTTTGTAAATGAAATTGAGTAGAGAAACCAAATCACTTAAGGTTGCGGCAGTTAGGTACAAACTAGTGTAATAAACTCCCACGCACACCTAGTACTCGAGGACTAACAGCAGAACCGTTGGTTAAAGAACTAAAGGATCACAGGTTCAAGCTCAGTCAAATCTACTTGATTTCGGATAACAAGTGGCCTACATGGTAGATTTGACTGATATTTAACAAATTAAAGTGTATACATTTGATGACATGCATACATTTATCGACAGGGAATATATATATATATACTGTATTATACCATACTATACTATATAACAGCTAAAGTCGACGACCACAAAACTTTTATTTGCAGTTACTATAAATAAAAACTTGCAACCATGTTTTTAAGCAGAAAACCAAATTGTTTTAAATTTAGCCGTATGTACAGCATTTAAGCAACTCTAAAGCTTCAAACCTATGATATCGTGGTGCTTCCAAGGTGATAAGACAAAAATGAATTTCATTCAACTGATGAACACATAATGGGTAGTTTATCAGCACAAATTACATATGGTGAGTTCTGAAATTAGCAAAAATGGCTGTATAGAACATCAACAAACTACAAGATGAAAGTAACTGAAGATTACATTAAAAAGAAAGAACTGTAACTAAATACACAAAATTACCTTGTGTGTCAAGGACGGAGAGTCCAAAAGACATTTCAGAGATGTAAGCGGTGAAGCTGGTTGTGGAATCCCATGATGACCATGGTTTGTATTGCGTTCTGGAGTGTCGGCTAGATTCAGACGAGATGATGTAGCACTTAAATTTAAATCAAGGGTGCTAAACAAAGACAAATCATTGGGTCTCTGGTGACTTGAAGCATCTTTCGTCTTATTTGTTTGTTTACTAACATGTCGCGAAGGTGAAGTGGGACGTAAAAATTCGAAGTCGGAAGTCTTCACTGAGAGATCACGATCCTTATTAGCAGTACTCACTGATTTCTGACAACCAGGAATATCACTCGAAGATAATGCCCTCGGAGGCTGTTCTCCCGTTTCATCCTACATGAGTAAACCAAAGAAAGAATCAGAAATCATACAAAAACCACTGTCAGTCCTTTCATTGTCAAAAATAAGAACTGACTGACTGATATTACAATTTTAACCCTCAACTCAGCTGAAAACTTAAGATATTTAGACTACTGAAGTGTGCTTAAATAACCAAAGTAATCTTACTGATGATCAACAACGCAAAGTGAGATGGCATACACGAAAGGTGCGCAGAATGTCTAACCTAAGGTTACCATTCTCTATTACACTTACCTCTGTTTGACAAACATCCGGATGATGAATCAGCAGACTATCATTTTGCACGCCAGGGAATGGATTTAAAAGTGTGTTTATGACTAATTCTCGTGTGAATTCATGATGGAAGGATAGATGGATCATAGGCCCTCGAATCAGATGAAATATAGCAGTCTGCATATCCAAAGTTAAATCCAAAGCAGCATCCATGAATGATTGTTTACAGGGACTTTGAAGACATCCTAATAAAACTGTCAAGCATACCTGAGAAGAGAAAACGATATGCTATTACTTACTATTGAAATGTACAAATACAGTAAAAAGAAATATACTGAGAGCCATAAATATCCCCACAAAATTGAGTAAATAAAATCAAGTAATACAAACCAGCATTGACAGATGTAGTGGATACTTCCAACTTAGTCCTATGCCAGTTATTACTCGTCTAGAGAGTTGAGTAGACATATGTAACGTAATTTCCAGTTGTTCCAGTCGCTAGAGATTCACAACTTAATAGATCATCTTTCTCTTTACGTAACAGTCTAACCCAATTACTGCTGATCGCGTTCTAACACACAAAAGGAAATTACGTGAAGACAAAGTCAACAACCTCTTATCTGTTTCGACGTATTTACACATCAGAATGATGTTATAAATAGATCTGTAATTAGAAGTCTATAAGTGTAAGTAGGATTAGCTTCTTCAACCAATACACTAGGGCAGGAAACTAAGTGTAAGGATCTCAACATGGTACCAGTCGAAACCAGACAGATGGTACGTTAGTATCTCGGGAAAGATCGTCAGTGAATTTCTAACTGAGTTAACCAATAGAAAGTCACAAATAGTGCCATAGTTTTTGTACTACTAGTGCGAAATAAATAACTTAAACCAATATTAGTTCAAAAATACTAAAATATTACCTCAATTCATGACTGCTGATTAGTGGCCATCTAATATAGTCTTATATATATATATATATATATATATATATATATATATATATATATATATATATATGAAGTTTTAATACACTGGTTTTACTGATACATATATATATATGGTTTTTAGAAACCTCTAGCTTTCTTAGGATGACCTACACGAATAAGAAGACACTTTAAATCTTGCCAGGATGAAATAAAAATTGGGCAATTTTAAGAAACGCCTGCTTAGTTATCGGAAACGAAACTGATTTTTAGAAAGCATAAGAGAGCATTCTTGTGAATTCCCTCAACTTCTACTAAGGAATCGCAAAAATTACTAGCTAACTAGAACTGATCAAGGACTGGAGTGGTTTCGGCATTAAAATGTTTCACACTCGAATTAACAAAACATCTCAACAACAAGAAAGTTGGTGGCTTATTGAGCGCAGACAAAGCATTATAAATAAATAAGCCAAAAGGCCATCGAATATTCTTATGTTCAAAAAGGATATTTCGGTCGGCCAATTAAAACGAGTAAATTGCATAATATTATAAGCATAACACATGACTGACAATGGGAAACAAATAACAACTCATGGAGAGTGAACAGTTCGCCAACTTACACCATACACCTCCAGATCAGCAGATACGCCAGATATCACTCCATCGATGTCAAACAAATCTGACACGTTAGATTGGAAAGTGCCTACATTAGTGAAATAATGAGTATAATGAAACGTCTTACCATCCAGAAAGGAAGTAATCTGGTCTTTAACACACCCTAAATCAGTCACTTTGGGTACATAATGTCTGTTTCTATTAATTAATTACAATGAGGACTTACGAAAGGTCTATTAGTTGGGTGAATACTGTTCCATCTCTCAAGTCAGTGTCTGTAACATCTGTTTTGATTATCAGTGTAATCCATTTCAGTAGGCTTTCTTTTACAAAATCATCCATGTACCAACGAGTTTAAGTTTATCCAACATTCACCCTTCCGGAGATTTCAACAAAAAATGTGAGGAGAGGTGGATAACACCATGCAATTCAAAGAGCAATTCAAAGATGCACCGTTATATTACGCGCGCTCGACAAACGCTCGCAGAGCGACCAAGAAGTTTGATACATAGAAACTAAACGCCATATGCCATATATAAATTTCACAGAGTATCAATTACTTGAAATCGGTTGAAAGTATACTCAGGTTTTTTCGGAATTACTAAGTCAACTGAATGCCATCATGGCTTGTTCAAGGAAGTGTCTTTTCAAAGTGCTTACTTTCAGTGTCGAATATCTCTTTAACACTTCAGAAGTTCTGTAGAAACTAAATGACGACCAATGATAACAGAACATTAGTGAAATTTCGGTGCCACGTTTGAGTAAACTGCGTTCGAGTTCCTAACAAAATGAATCTATGTGGGGCTAAGTCACCTGACTGGTAGTGGAATCATAACATCTTCCTCGGGATGCAAAAAAGTGAAGAAGCAGCCAATAATTTAATGGAGGGAATAAACTTTTACGAGTCTGCCATCCTAGGGCTCCTTAGAGACAGTCGTGACAGATGGTCGCTTTCTTTGACATAAGCAAGTCATTATCAGAGCAAATTATGACTTTATCGTTCTCACTTTTCGAAACAACCAGCATTCGTTTATGAGTATGAAATGTCAAAATATGTAAAAAATCTTTTGTTTGAAATGATTTGTGGTGATTTCCGTTTTACCATAGCGTGAATTGAGATTTAATGCATTATATACAAATATCATTGGTAAATAGGAGTCGTATATGACACAAAAGTTTGTCACTGAAGCATAAGTGGCATTATAAAACTGCAAGACGTGTTCATATTAACGGTCGACAGAACGGAAATATTACACCAGCGAATTTCGCGTTGTACCGACCACGTGAGAGGACTGTTGACTCGTTAGTTCCTGGCAAGTAGAACATTATGCTGCAAATTGTCTTCCAGTCATTTACTGTCTTTGCACTCAGACACTATCTTTAAGACATTAATGAGAAGAGCAGATAAAAATATACGGCACTGTATTGACTTTGTATTTTGCGTAACAAACTATCATTTTATCTTCGTGAACTGATGTTCCCCATATAAATAAACTATTTACCGGAACAGGAAAATGCACTTTTGCTCGTTCACAAGAAAATTACTTGAGGACAGTCGGTTAACAGATATACATACATCTGTAAGTCGATGGTTATATGCTCATCAGCCACGCAAACAGGTCCCGGTCAGACTTCTGGTCAACATTCTCATAAAGCTCACCTAGTTTATTTGCTGGAAAATAAAAAGGTTTAGCGCGAGAATAGAGATATTATCCGTAAAACTACTCTTTCTCTGCCGAGACTTCATGAAGCTTTGTCCTCTGTTGCATCCTGAACAAAATTAACTAAGAGAATTTAGGTTATTAAGTCCTTCCGAACTAAACAAAGATCATATTTCATTAATATCACAACACAATATGATATGATCATATCCGTGGCATCGCTTAAAAACACTTTGCATGAAACACAAGAATTCTTAAGCAACACTTCTGGGCATTTGCATGGTTAAGTGGTTCCTTTGGTGCAGAGTGAGTATTACAGAGAGTTGAATAGTTAACCAAATACAACTACTAAACACTTAAGGGCCAGTAATATTCTCACAAAATTTATGATTCTGTCTGCAAAAATCAGATCGGGAAATGAACATTTTGACCATTCAGAGAACAAAAAGTCACTTCCTGGTGAGACCTTAGGTTCAGCCAAACCAAATCTTGTAAATGTATGATAGTGTCCTATTTTCAATAGTCCGGTGAGACAAAACAGCAAAATAGAGCATGAAGAATGAGTCAGAAACAGTTAAAAAAGCTAGGTAGTGTAAAAAGAAGACACAAACATTTTAAGATTATCACACACAAGTCAGTTGTGAAATGTGGACTCTCATATATTTAATTCTGTTACAATTCCTTCTCATGTACCCAATATGTTAATGAGTGACATGAAGTGATAGGTGAATGTATTTTATTTATATATAAAACGCGAGTGGACATGATTATCATACTTTTCACCTGATGTCTTTATACTACTGACGAGGCGATAGGCTGAAATTCGTCATAGTTAATGATCACAGCAGGCACTCAGTAAAGCGTCACTTACATCAGTTTTGTTCACAAAAATAATTAAGTATGACTCACTAGAAGGGCATCCGTGGTTAGAAAAATTCCAAAGTCGATTTACTGCCAGTTGAAGTACGCCACTCTCCAGCCTCTACAACACCTGGCGTTGTAGATATATATCAGCTGCTTTACTTGTAAGAGGCTAAATTTTCTCCCAGTATGGCTAATCTTTCTGTTAAAGAGTTCAATGACCTCAGGGTGAAATTACTTCAAATGACTATGCACCTCCAACATAGGTATAAAGGACTGTGTTCTACCCCCAGGCCACTTTCCGAAAGCTGAATTTTTCTTGAGTTTATGCACTTCTCGTTATGTGGGGATTAGTTATGTAACAGCACATCAGCAGTGCAATGAATGTTAGAACAGCGTGTATACGTCTTTTAGAAGTATATAACATAAGACACACGTCGTCAATGTGGAGAATGTCAGGTTAATGTATGCGGAGTGCCAGGCATTATATAATATTGCCTAAGTAACGTGGCGGTTAAGGGAAATGGACTTTGTCTACCGAACATAGTAAGTCTGTCTCTAGTTCTCCCAAAATGAAATGAAAGAGAGTGGAACCGCTACGGGGTTAACATACCAGTGTGTCACCTGAGCATTGGTACTTTGGTGAGAAAATGTCTAGCACTAATAAGGAATAAGTGAAGTTGAGAGTTATAGCAGTGTTTTAATTATCTAAGCTCGTTTATCAAGCTTAGGTGTGGTTCACCATCCACTATTTTACATGGAGTGTCATTACCGTGTTCGCCTATTTCTATCATACTTGATCATACTTGATCGTGCCTGTAAAAATGGCATGCATTTTCATGTAAATTTATGTTTATATGAGAATATACATTATTATTATTATTCCTTATGATAAGAGATGGATCATTTGTGTATCTTCCCATTATCATACCGAATGAAGAGAGGCGACCTAACTTGGCATACCACATACTCAAGGGTGACTTAAGGGTCGAACTTTCTAATCCTGTCTCTCCCTCTAGGATAAATTTACGAGGTCACCACAAGAAGCTGCTCAAACGGATGTCGAACAAAATACGTGTGGAATTTAGATTCTCTCAGAGAGTGAACAGCGAGTGGAACTCTTTACCTGAATCAGTAGTAACAGTTCCATCGGCGAACACTTTCAAAAAGAAAATAGATCTCTGAAGAGGCATATATATCAAGGGTTAACAAAGGCAATGAGAGCCTTCTATCCTTATATTCTAAATCTAAAGTACCAGGAGAAGTAAAATTCCCAATTAGTAGAGCAGAGTTTTCCAGAGGATAACCGAAAATCAAATATGATCCCCTGCAAGCCGTAATCAATCTCTACGTTGATAATTACCACGAGGTCTAAGCCAGGTGTTGTGATATGTAGTCTGAGCATTGTAAATATCTTGAATACGGCGTGCTTTTTCCCCGCTAACCGGAAACATCCAGTTTAGTGAATTATTTGTCTGGGAAACCTGATCTTCCTAGCCGGCGAATTTTATTCAACCATTTCTTCTTCACGGAGACTGTGGTACTTTCTGCTGTCTCGAACTACTACCAAAGCTTCAGGTGCTACTTCTGTAGCAACATCCTCCTCACTCCTTAAAATATACAGGACTTGTTGGTCTGTTGCATAATTGATTTGAAACCGAATAACCCGAAATTTACGGGTAAAGTCAAAAGTTTTTCATTATATACTTTATCCTTCTGTTCTGCGCTCTCTATTGTCTTTTGCTGTCAGTCGATTGGACAAAGTAACTCCACTGTCTCTTATTATTTAAGATAAGTAATTGGATATCATACTCCGTAGTCACCAGGGCTTCAGCCAAATTCGGCAGTTTGGTGAAGGTGATGGACTCTCGCATACCGGTCTTGAAGACCAGGGCAAATACTCTCTGCTCGTATAGATTGCCCATGTAGCCAGAGCCCTACAGTGAAACTGTGCAATGTCAGCCAAGTGGATGTGGCTCCATCCCTGTCAACACGACTAGGTTAACAGAGCCGAGTGGGAAAACTGCACTGAGTGAGATTTGTATAACACCCATCTCCATGGTAGGCCATGAAACAAACAGGAAGGCCGAAAAGAAACGTTCACGACGTCGCAAGACGACGAAAGCGTTCCCCATGAAGGCAGACGATTACAAGGTCTGCGATTCTGTTGTCGAACAAGCAGACTCTGCATTCGAATGTAACCTTTGCAAGCGATGGGTACATTGTAGATGCGACACTGGGGTACCAAAAGTTTATTATGATTTTATGCGTAAGAACCCATGCCCATTGTTCTGGTACACATGCCCAAGTTGCCGTCCTGATGCAGCCTCGCGTAGTCCTTTGAAAGCTGAAGATGGCGTAGAAGTAGCGAGGAAAGACGTGAAATGTTCTACTCTCACCAATTCGGAAAACAGAACAAATGCACGTAAACCGGGGATACCAAAATCAGCACCGGTTAAACTTGCAACTCTTGCCATAACCGCTCCAGGCACAGAGGCTGAAGCACCACGGGTTTCTGACGCTGGAAAAAGACCCCTATCGTCTACCAGTAATACTGGCCACGGCACTGAGACACACAATAATATCCAGTCGCAACAGACGAAACAAAATGGTCTTAAAGGGGATGACAAATGTGCGAGGACCGAGCTTAAGTCCACGGGTTAGTAGAGCAAACTGCGTAATCATCTTTAATGCACCAGACTGTAATAGAAGTCTGCTGGAAAATAGGGCCCTGTTTGATCAGGAACAGTGGTCCATCTTGTGTAGCACACTGGGTCTGCACATCCAAACAGTAAATCTATGCAGATTGTATAGGGGTACTGCCGCACCTCAAGGCAAACCATCCCCACTGGGGGTACAATCGGGCTCTAAGGAGGATGTCGAAAAAGTTTTACAGGCTTCTTAAGTCGTTTCTGTGGAGAAGGCCTGTGTCAATCACGTCTTTAAATCCGTCAATGCATAGCTCTTGCTACGCCGGGCCTCTCG